AGAAAAGAATATGCCATGCTTTCTGATGAAGGCATAGAATTCCATTGTGTATACATACCACATTTTCTTGATCCATTCATTTACTGAGGGGTGTCTGGGTTGGTTCCACATCTTAGCTATGGTAAATAATGCTGCACATAGTTGGGCTGGTAGCTTTAGTGTGGTCTTTTTTGTGATCATTTGGGTAAATGCCCCAAAGTGGGATTGCTGGGTCATAGGGGAGCTCTAGGTGGAGTCTTTTGAGGAACCTCCATACTGCTTTCCAAAGTGGTTGAACAAGTTTACACTCCCACCAACAATGCAGCATGCTTCCCTTCTGTCCACATCCCCTCCAGCATCTGTTGTTATTAGAGTTCTTGATTATAGCCATTCTAACTGGGGTGAGGTGGTATCTCAATGTCGTTTTGATATGCATTTCTTTTATAGCTAGAGAGGCTGAGCATTTCTTCCTGTGTCTATTGGCCATCTTTCTTTCCTCTTCAGAGAATTTTCTCTTTAAGTCTTTAGCCCACTTATTTATTGGGCAGTTGTTTCTTTGAGCATTTGTTGTTGGGGAATTTTTTTGAGTTCCAGGTATTTTTAGATATGAGACCCTTGTCCATTGTATGGCTAGTGAAGACCTTCTCCCAATACGTGGGCTTTCTATTGATCTTGCTAGCTATGTCCTTTGCCATGCAGAAGCTCTGCAATTTCATGCAATCCCATTTGTCCAACCTTTCTTTGATTTGTTGTGTTTCTGGGTCTCTATTAAGAAAATTTCGGCCTGTGCAAAGGAGACCTAGGGTTTCTCCTATTCCATCCTGTAATGTTTTCAGAGTGTCTGCTTTCACTCCAAGGTCTTTGATCCATTTGGAATTGATTCCTTTTGAACAGTGTTACCCTTCCATCATTTTCTCCCACTTTCCCACCTCCCAACTCCCTTCTCCCCCTCCCCCCAGCACAAGTTGTAAAGTTCATTTCTAACATAGTGTCTAGTATCACTGTTGCACTGGTTCACCCTTTGTCCAGCAGTTTCTATGATTCCCCATCCTTCCCAAATCAGATAAATTTATAAACAAGGCAAAAGGAACAGAAACCAAAACAGTGGCAACAGGGAATAAACCAAAGGAGAAAAAGAAAGAAAGAAAAAAGAAACAATGCAAACCTCTTGCTTCCTTTCTTGGAATTCATTTCATTAAACATCATTTTATATGGTCATATGCAAATATCTATTGAACTATTGTGATCCTCTGCTAAGAATATTCTAGACATATTCTAGTTATTAAAAAAGGGAAACCATGCAGCCTATGTTTCTTTGGGTCTGGCTTACCTTGCTTAATATAATTTCTTCAGGTCTTTCCATTTCCTTATGAATGGGGCAACGTTACTTATTTCTGTGCCTAAAGAGACCTATACCATCCTCCAATCAAAATTCACTAATTGTTACTCACTGAAGATTGTGTCCTCATTTCTTAAAATGACAAACAACACAGTCTTGTAGCTTTGTAGACTTTATTAGTCACCACCTGACTTTTTACTAGGTGTCTATTTCATGAGCAAATCACCTAACCCTATGAATCTATCTTACCTTGGAGGATTGTATGGATAAAAGAACACAATATATGCTTCATGTGTCACACCAGACAACCTGCATCCATGGTATTTAGGGCTTTCCTAGAATGATAAACATGCTTCCATGCAATGAGTAGGCACTAGTTCTACCTCTGTTTACAACTGGACTCCCACCCCCACACCCCATATCACTTCTTTTGATGGAAAAGTTTCAAACCCAAATAGAATGAGAGGACAAGCAGGTAGCTTGGAAGAGTGAGCTAGATCCTGGAGAAAACAATGTAGGTTGATTTTTGGAAACTGTGGCTACCTGCACATTGCAAGACCGTATAAAAAGTTCTCCGGAGCTCCTGGCCGTTAGTTCGACACCGGATACGCATTAATTTGCAGGTTCACTCAAAAGCAAGCCTTGCTTTTGTTGATCCTCCCAAGATAACCATCTTTTCATTGACTAATTCAAGAAGAATGTGCTGAGCATTTACTACCCAGACCCTATTATGAGTGTAAGGCACTAGCATGAATCAACACGTACGAGATTCTGCATTGATGAGATTTTTCAAAAGAAATTACTAATGATTTCAAATGTTTGCATACATATTTTTCCAGTAGTGAGGCTTGAACTTAGGGCCTAGGCAAAGTCCCTGAGATTTTTTTACCTAAGGATGGTGCTCTATCACTTAAGCAACAGCTCCACTTTTTTTGGCCTTTTGGTGGTTAACTGGAGATAAGAACCTCATGGACTCAGTTGGCTTTAAACCACCAACCTCATATCTTACCTCTTGAGTAGATAGGATTATAAGCATGAACCACTGGTGCCTGGATGTGCCTATACATTTTTACATTTAAGTTTATATGCAAGATTTTTGTTTGTTCCTTTATTCATACAAATGAGGTTGGTCCCTGGAGTTCCTCTTTAGATGCTGAAGGGGAAACAGTTCCCCACAGGACAGTTTAATTAATGGCACATCCTAGTTTCAATCTTGGAGGTTCTCTAGAACCTTCGAATGGGGAGAGTGAGCAATAGATGCAGGCGTGTGGATGAGGAACAGCAGAGAGGTAAACAACCCATTGGTTGCCTGAGGTAAGAACTAAACAAGTAGGTTTCTGTCAAGCATTGCAGAAGACAGCGTAGGGTAATCTTGTATAGTAAAGCCTAAAATATTATCACAGAACTAAGACTTCAGAGACAGAAGCTAGAGGAAATACAAGAATAAGAAGGAAAAACTAACAATAAAAGACTTGGGGAGAGAGCAAGGGAAAGGATGACATTGTCCAAAAGGAAATGTACTCATTACCTGACATGTAACTCTAACCTCTCTGTACATCACCTTTATAACAATAAAAAATAAAAATTTTAAAACAATGAGTAAGAAAATGAGTAAGATGGGGAAATAACTAAACAATAAGATAGATTTTATATTCATTTACCTCATTTGGTCTTCATTTGCTCTCAACCTCCAAAAAAAAAAAAACTAATCCTGGTTTTTTCAAATGTAGCATATTATTTTTATAGCAAAAGCCAAGAATAACTCAAATATCTATCAGCAGAGGAATGCTTAAAGAAGCTAAATATGTCCACAAAAAATAAAATACTTTGTGGCTGAAATGGAATAAAGAATTTCTGAACATGCTACTATAGAATTCATTGTTGCTATTATATATTAAATGAATAAAATCCAGTTGGAATGAGGTATGAATAGTATGAGAGCATTTATCTGAAAAAAGGAGATATAAATAGATAAACGTATTTTAAATAACAAGAAAGGAAAACATTAATTTTTAAATGACCCAAGTTTAAGGTGGTAGCTATACTAATTCTGACTTAATCATTACCCATGATTTGCATGTGTCAACGTATTCCACTGTACCTCACAAATATGTACAAATCATTATGTGCCAAGCAAAACAGAATGATTGTTCCACAGGGAAAGAAAGGAATTCAGGCAGGGAAGAAAAATAGATGCATGACTTCTTTGAATGTACCTTAGTTTGTGAAATTACTTTTGGAAAAAAAATATACTTTGTGTAATTACAAAGTCACAATATTTTAAAGCATAATCCTAATATTAAAACAGACAAACAGACAGACATTAGTGGAGTATTCTAATCCTCCTATGCATGAGGATGACCTTATGTAAATGAACATTTCCCCCAGGTGTTCACCACTGAGCTGGAGTCTTACAGATGAGTGAACACATTCAGGTTACAGTAAGTTGTGCTCAACTAAAGCACTTCCCAGCATAGTGACACATATAATGAGGGAGAAGAAAATTCCATAAAAAGAAGATGTCAGGGGAAGTACTGAACAGGAAAGGCTGAGCTGGGACTTGAAGAAGAAGAATTTGAAGCAGGACTACTGTAAGAAGATGTAACAGGACCACCCAAAGTGTACAATTAATACTCATTACGCTTTGTAGATGATGACAGGCCATAACAATCTTAACTTGCTTCTTGTGTGAACTCATGGAAAACGGGCATCTTGTGGGTTCTTCAAAAGGAAAACTTAAGACATTAATTTCAAAGTATTCGGTTTCTGTTATCTCCACTTTTACTGAAAGTATTCAAATGCATAATACTGGGCTTGGATCCTAATCTTATGATACTTTAAGTTTTTGCCCAAATCTTTCCTGTTTAATACATCATACTTTAGCATTCAGAGAACAAAGAGGAAAGCTTATTTGTCCATGTCCTTGTTGCTCAAGCAGAATGTCTTGAAGTGCTCTTAGTGAAAGAGTGTAAGAGAAGAATACTTCAAATAAAACTTTTTATAGACGTCAGAATCCATTGCCTACATCGGTCTATCCCCTATAAGGGTGTTGGCCTTCCCAAGTGACTTCTGCTATTGAAAAAGAATGACGTAAAGCCATTCAGGTAGAACCATCAAAATGGAAGGTCTTTAGCAAGGACCCGTCTCTCAAGTCAACCAAGAAATACCTAGGAGAGAAGCAATCCCCTAGTTTACAGAAATAACTGCAAGAAATCTTTCCATCTGTTTCCTTACTAGCATTCTTCCTGGCAGTAGCTTGTGTTTGGCCACACTGACATAAAAAGAGGCTTAAATTGTGAAAGCCATCCTCAGAATATTATCGTGGAAGAATAGAGTGACACATGGGAATCCTCAGTCATAGAGAATCATGTGACCGTCACAATTTAGAAGATATGTAAGACCGGAGTAGAAAGGCAAGTGTGGTTTCACATGGTTTATAACAAGACTCAATGAATCATACACACCACAGGAAAACACGAGGCTCTTTCTAGGTACTGAAATAGTTAACTTCATAAACACAATTACGACAATAACTTCCCAGTGTAAAAATAAGGAAAAGTATTGTTTACAGTAACATCAGTTACCAGGCAGAGTATAAAAGGAGACCCAGGGCACAAAGATTTCCAGATTCAAGAAAGACACTCCTTGGGAAATCTACCCAGAACCTCCATCCTCTGACACCATGGTCAACTCCTGTTGTGGCTCCACCTGCTCTGAGGAGGGCTGCTGCCGCCCCAGCTGCTGCATCTCCAGCTGCTGCAGGCCCCAGTGCTGCACCTCTAGCTGCTGCCGGCCCACCTGCTGCATTTCCAGCTGCTGCAGACCCTGCTGCCAGTCTGTGTGCTGCCAGCCCTGCTGCCGCCCCAGCTGCTGCATCTCCAGCTGCTGCCGCCCCAGCTGTGGAGGCTCCAGCTGCTGCCGGCCCTGCTGCCGGCCCTGCTGCTGCCTGCGTCCAGCGTGTGGCCAGATCTCCTGCCACACCACTTGCTATCGCCCCACCTGCGTCATCTCCACCTGTCCCCGCCCCATGTGCTGTGCCATCCCTTGCTGCTCAGCCTGCTGATCTGGACCCAGCTTTCCCTCCTCTGTCCCCTCCGATGTAGGACTTCCCTTTGTATTGACCCTGAGGACACACTGAGTGGGGCTCCTGTTCACTCAGCTGGGTCTCTTGAGTTTGTTGGGATCTCTAGAGACCCGACAGCTAGCTCGGTGACCATTTTCTCGCCTCAGTCTACATCTTTTCCATGTGATCCTCTCCCTCTCATCCAAGTGTGAATTTGCTTACGGTATACCAACTGTTTTTCAGATTCTGCTTCTTCATTTTTAAGTATCCAGCCATCAAACTCAAGGATCCAAAGTTTGATTTCAATATCTTCTACCTTTATAGATTTTCATAGACTCTCTTCCCTGTCCATTGGAGGTTCTTTTCTTTCTCTCTCTCTCTTTTTTGGTCATTCTTAATGCTCAAATTTTCCTGTTGTATTTCTGTCCCAAAATAAACTACCACTTTCCCGTGTAGAAAATCCATGTGACTGTGCTCTTTTCTCAACATCTCAGGCAATCATGTCACAGGCCTTGCCATGCCACAGTTCAGAGGAAGCCACATTTGTCACAGCCCACTTTACACTGGTGGTTTCTTTAGTTCTTAAGGCCACATGGAAGGGATTCATGGGTGAAAAATAAGAAAAATACATTTTGGAATGAGGGCAAACAATGTTGTATAGGTGGCATGCTTTGATATTGCATATTTCTGAAAGTAGTTCATGGTCACTATAAAGAAAATGGAATTGGGTGGCTGTAGCTGGGAGCAAATGATTTGGGGGTGGGGGGAATGAAAGTGGCAAGTGATAAATCAGAATTAGAAGAACAAATGGACAATGATGAGGGGATTTTTGGTAGTAAATACTCTCATCTCCTGTATGCCCAGAGCAGATGAAGCTAAGGGCCAAGCCTAAGATTTAAGATGGGAGTAGTAGAGAGCTGGAGGTGGTCTTGTCATGACCTAGACTGTTGTACTCACCAAGTTACACCCTCACTGGGACAGAAGGAGAACCAGATGTGTGGGATGGGACTGTCTGAGTTGACCCAATTAAAATCTGGACATTTGGATTCCAAAATACCCCTAAGCCCTCCAGGCCCGAAGAAATTGTTGACTTTCCATGCTAAACTCTAGGATCATCCTTTTCCTGAAAGATGCTGTAGAAGCTTCAGTCTTGACAGTTACCATCTCTGCCTACTTCTCTTTGCCACACACTCCTAACTGGAATTATGTTATGACAGACTTCACCCACAAAAAAAAAGGTAGAACTCCTAATGGAGGGCTAAGCTTCCAAAGATCTGCAGGACTCAAACTACTTCATGAGTAGTGGTGTACTTGTCTATCAAGAGAGGTATATTGGCCAGTTGTCTCTCCTTTTGTGATGTCACGGTTAGAAGATGATCATTTAGTAGCATCATTTCATGAGGCATGGCAAAGTGATGACTTCAGTCACTTGTATTACTCCTGTGCTGCTGACTAGCCATGGTAATTCCATAGAGAAATATCTCTCGTGAACTTGTGGTTATGCAAGAAATACTATTATTCCATTAAAGGCAAAATAGATAGTCCATTCTCTCCTTTTAAAAAATCAGTTTGCATCATCACAACACAGCCAGATAGGGTTTCTTCTTTCTTCCTTTGGGATTCTTATCATATGAATTGATAGATTTCAGTGTATTTGGTGCTATCTCCACTCTAACTTATATGTCCATTGATTCTCGTGAGTGGCCTTAAGGTGGCTTCTGAGGCCTGACGGCTCTAGTAGGCTCTGAAGGTTTTCTTTTTGTTGCTGCTGCTGCTGTTGTTGTTTAATGTAAGAATACATTCCAGACTTATTTGGGTATATTCTTCTCTAGATATAATCAGCCATTTCCCCAAGGATTCACAGTTCCTTTCAGTAGAAAAATGGTATTTGAGGCCATACATTAAAGTTCTAAGTTAATTATTTCCTCTCATCCCAGATTTCCTGGTGTCCACAGATAGGTTTCTAGATATAATGACACAGTTTTTATTTGACTTCACACATCTTACCTACAAGAACTAAGTGCAGTCCATTGAACTCATCTTGGTTGGACATAGAAGTTCTTTTTTCTTATGCTATCACTTCCTCTTTCTCTACTGTTCCATCATTTTTATGGAAGTAAATTTCTGGTGTGGTGTAGGAGGTGTGTGTGCAGGTGCCAGTCCTGGGGCTGGAACTCAGGGCCTGGGTGCTACGCCTGAGACTTTTTTGCTCAAGGATAGTGTTCTACTACTTGAGCCACAAATCTACTTCAGATTTTAGTAATTAATTGGAGGTAAGACTCTCATGGACTTTTCTGCTTTGAATCGTGATCTTCAGACATCAGGCTCCCAAGCAGCTAGAATTGTAGGTGTGAGCCACTGGCACCTGCCAGCATCCTGAGTTTTTAAGAAATATTATACAAATCTGATACACTTTATCCTCTACTTGATTTATCATTTCTAAATGACATATCCTGGACAGTTCCTCAGAGTAGCATATAGAGTGACTGAATAGTAGTCCATTTCAGGAATGTGTAATCCCTGATGGACACTCACATTGTATTAGTCTTCTTGTTATTTTGCTAGGATTTCATAAACATAACTATTGTAGATACTAGTATATCTAGTATATCCCAAAGTATCTTTGGGATACTTTATAGAGTTGGGGTCACTTGGTCAAAAAAACAGTGTTGCTAGTTATTGTCAAATAGGTACAAGAAAAGTAATGAATATGCCTGTCTCCACATTGTCTCACAGATTATAGACAAATTTTGAATTTTTTATAACCTAATAGATGAGGTGTCCCATATAGTTTCTTTTAGCATGGCTGAAACTCAACGTCTTTATATAGTGAGAAAAATACCTGCATTTCTTTTTCAAACTAGGAAGTGATCTTTTGAAAAACCTATGTTTAGGAGTCCTTTATATACTATGAATTCTTTGGGACATAAATCATGAGATTTAAAAAGGAAATTAATCATTTGTTTTACCTTGCTTATAATAGTTTATTGTACATTTGACTGAAAAAATATGCATGTAGATATGTAATAAAATAGAAGACGTACAGAATCTTCTTTAATGGGGAGTCTTTGATGATCTCTGCTTTTTTTAGCTAGTTCTAATTGACTTTTTGTTTATTTTTTTTATTTTGTTGGTTTGTCATTGTTTTAGTTTCATTTTCTTTTGGGTTTTCTTTTTTTCTTTTTTTTGAGGCAGGGCATTATAGTGTAAGCTAGGCTAGCCTGGAACTAGCAATCCTCCTTCTGCAGCCTCCTGAGTGCTGGGATTATAGGTGTTTCCCACCATGGTAGATGTTACTTCCATTGCACCAATTCTTACCTTCCTATGTACATTATCACCTCTCTACACAGACATTCATCCTATAATATCCATAATACCACATGTTCTCCCTGCTTCCCATCACTCTCTCAGCTTTAGACAATAATAGCTGAGACCTGTATCTGATAGATACAGATACAACATAAATTCAAGAAAATCCTTAAAGTCTCCACATTCACTCAAATGTTTTACTTTCAAAAACTTTCACATGCACCCAACTAACCTGCACTGGATAAGATATTTTCATGAGATTAGCACCTTGTAGGCTCTAGAAAAAGGAGGTAGACGACAACTTGATGAAGTGTGGTAGCTTTGAGCAGAAGCATATCTTGAATCTGAGGGGAGGGAGAGATTTATTTTAAATGAAGTAGATGCCAAGAAAGCTATTAGAAATGAGTTATACTGGATACTTAAATATGTGTAAGAGTTTTCTATCTCAGTAAAAGAGAGAACAATATTCTAGGCTAATGAAGTATTCTAGGCATGAAGAATGGCAGGGTTATCATTCTTCACATTTTAGGGGAATACCTCCTCTTTGTTGACTGTGTGCCTGTGGTCTAATTAGATCTCAATTACCTCATGTGTGAAGAATTAAGGGAAATTTTGTATACCTCACAGAGTCTTGAGATGTGTAAACAAGAAAACAATGGTAGAGAACTCAGAAAATTCCTGATGTACAGCAATTTGTAATGATTAGTGTTAGCTCATCTTTCACTAGGAATGTACAAATTTAAATACATAATTTTTGGTTTGTTTACAATCCTCTAAATGGCTACCAAACTTTTTCCTATGTATGTGTCATATTGGTTTTGAATGTTTACAGGACAATAAAGCTAAAACCTTTATACCAAGCATAATACCTCTAACATGCATCATTGACAGATAACAGCATGGAATATAAAAAGTATACTTTCAATACTATTTCAGATGCACATACTCAGTAAGCCAAAATGTTCCCTTATTACCAGACATTGGTAGCTTACGTTTATAATTTTAGCTACTCAGGGATGCTGAGATTTGAGGATTGTGTTTTAAAGTCAGTCTGGGCAGGAAAGTCCATGAGACTCTTCTTTCCAATAAAAAAGCTGGAAGTGGAGCACTGGCCTTGAGCAAAAAACGCTCAGGAACAGCACCCAGGCCCTGAGTTCAAGCCCCAGGACCGACACAAAAACAAGAACAAAACAAAACAAAAAAATGTTCCCTTAGTATATCCTAGTTTTGAAAAAACATGTCAATAATAATTTAGTAATTTTTATAAATTTATTTTATTTATCAATGCCTATATGTAGTGGTGCAAAAGGGTTTCAGTTCAACAGGTCAGTTTAAGAGTATAATGTATCTTAATAATCTAATAATTTTTTAAAGGGTCCATCATGACACTGTGATTTTTACTATCTAAAAAGTAGTGAATCATTTCCATTATAAATGTTTCAGATCAAGTAGATTCAATAACACAAAGTACACAGGAATTTCAGCAGGCCCCTTTACAGCTCAGTGGCCATCTGAAAAATCCAGAAGGATCAAGATATTTCTCACAACTACATACAAGCTACCTCCCCTTCCTGACCCCAGCCCCTAAAATATGGATCTTCTGTCCTGTTTTTTCTACTAGTGTTCCATATTACATCTTCTAACCTATGTGACAGCAGAGGAGATTTAGCCATCCATTATAAAAATCTACT